TCCTAGTTTCATATGGAGCCCATTGATTTCAGCTGCTCAGAAAAAGGTACATGGGGTTCATGTGATTTGGTTTTTTTAATAAATGCAAATAATCCCCCAGAAAGTGATCTGGTTATAGGCCCAAGTTGAGGTATAGATTTGTGATCGCAGTGCACCTGCTTGGCGAGGCTTCTCCTTCTACATTACATTAATAATAAAGCAATGAAAATGCTTTCAAAAAAAATTCTGTGAGACATCAAAACATCATTCACTCAAGTAAATCATAAAAACATGTATAGGATATTTTAAAAAATTAAAGCGAGTGTATCTATCACAATCCAATTGCAAGTTGTAAGGCTATCATTCATCCATTATAAACAGAAAAAACCAATGCAAAACATGACAAAGCAAACATATCCTTTTGCAAATGAACTGAGAATTTTTTTTATTTCTATAGTTTAACATAATGGCTTCTTTGCAGTATTTTGTAAACTGTTTTCATCTAGATTATTGCAGCAAGTTGCCCTTTTTACCATGTTATTGCATTGATGACATCAACCTTTGCAGGGAAAGGCAGAATTTTGAAGACAGATTGGGCAGTTAAATGGAAGAAGAATGAATTTCAAACTCTTGTACTTTTACATAAATTTTCTTTAAAGCCTTTTTTTTTATAGAGCCTTCTGAAAACTAGTAGAATGCATGAGTAATCCTATTTTGGCTGAGTCATTCCCATCACTTTAGTTGTAGTTACAGAGTTCTTCTCACCTTGCAGAGGCAGGGAGGAAGATAAGGATTACTTTATGTAACCTGTGTATAAATCAAGTTACCTTTTAAGTTAACAGATTTATAGAAATACTACACAGCAGCACAGTATGAGTTACTATTTTGGGATATAAAATTATAAAGTAATTACTATAATAATGACTTTTGTTAATACAATGGAAAAACTTGAAACTTGAGTCACATAAACTACATTTTTTATAATGTGACCATATAATAAAAGCCAGGAAACTGGGCTTAATTACAAGGAATGGCAAAATATTGGATTGCAGAGAAAGAAGTAACAGCATCACTTACCTCAAAACTTACAGATCCGTTGTGATCAGTGTCAAATGCATTAAACAGAAAATGTGCATAAGTTGTAGAATCTACAATTTAAAATGGGAAAAATAGTTCATAGTAAGCACATCTTTTTTCATTTAACTTAATTCCATGAAATAAATTGATACCAAGATATATTTTGATACCAGAACTTCAGAGTAAGACTAAATTCTCAATTCAGTTTTAACTTCTTTTTTGGCAGTAGAGGAGGGATAAATTCTAAGTGCAACTATATGGGTAGCTACAGTGTTAGGAAGAGAAATTCTAAAATCCTGGTCTAAGAATATCTTTAATAATTTTCGTTCCCATGTCTGCTACTCACTGATACCTGAATAAATAGCAAAGAAGCCATGCTATTGTACGCTAAAACAGTCTGCGTTAAGATCATAAAAGATATTAAAAGATCACTTGTCATCATAAAAGATGACAAGTGATCCCTTCACTAATTATTAGTATATTTTTCAAACCTACTGACCAGTGCATAATGACTCATTTCCAAAACATAGGATGGAATGAATATAAATCTGTCAAGCCTCTAAATATTTGTAAAGATCCATCTGTCCTTTTCCACCAAATGCCTTCCAAGAGGCACAACCTGATCTAGGAGCAATATGCTGCAAAGAGAGAACTTCTCCAGAGACTGCCCTGTTGAGGGGAGGCACAAGCTGCTGGGGTTACGGGAAGTCAGCTTTCCTCAGTGCCTTTTCTCTCCCTCAAAACCATGCAAATGAATGTAGTCTGAGGTATTGTTTACTTTTAATACTCATGGCTTTGCTCTTTCTACTTAATGTATTTACATTAATTTTAGGTTTATAAACGTTAACCTCACAAACTTTTAGTAAAATGAAAAGTGGTATGAAATCTGTGTCCCCCTTGCAGGACAAAACCCTCCCTATCATAGAAAAACCTCATCAGCGCTGAGATGCCTTTTTTCTGATTTCTTGGCACTAAACCATTTTCGTGTCATATTAATCCTGAAAACCTTCATTTGTCACAGCCCTAAATACTGTTTTGAGTTAAACTGAGTGATAGTCTTGGGTCACTCACCTGAAATGCAACCTTGACCCCAAGGAACCAAATATACCAAAATTCAAATCTTTGTACTTCACAAATTCAGACCTGATGTTTGTAATTGAAGTCTCTGGTCTTACTTCAATATGTTAATTTCACATGATGTGAAATAATTGTAACAAGAAAAAAAAATCTGCAGCCTTTAAACCTTGTGTTTGTTAATGCATTTTCAGAGAATTAAAAAAATAACCACTGTTAAGACATTCATTCATTCATCCATGTATCCAGTCATCAGTGTAATTGCTTAAGCATGGCCTAGCAGATAAATTCCCACTTTAACTGAAAAATGTAAATTTGTTTAGTTCAGTTTATATTTACGATTTTAATAGTCAAATTTTCTATAATCTACTGAGACTTCTGTTGTGCAATCGAATATACTATTCAAACCATTTTCAGAAAAAAACATATTACAGAGGTATAATTACTGTAAACTGAATTTTAAATAGCTTCCCATGCTCTTGGCATTTATTTCTTAAAAACATGTGAAATATTACTAACTATTTTCTGTAAATTTAAAGAAAACACAAAAATTAATACAAAAGGGCTTTATTGTTTGTTGCCAATACATGATACAATAAACTATTCTTTTTGTATGATGGTATATGAAAAAAGGTCTTTAATTGAAGAATCTGTTTTTTCTAGTAAACCCTTTGAAAAACAAAACAAAAAACTATCAGAATTTTTTTTCAGGGTTGTTTGTTCAGGCAATTGTGGTCTGAAATTTTGCCTTCAAAAGCACAGCAAGATGAGGTACATTAATCTTTTAATTAGAGCTACTTAATGTGATTTCTCCCTGATCCCCCCACCCCCCCAATCTTGAACATTAATAATATTAGACAAAAGCTTAACTTTTAAAATAAAATATGTTTTCGTTTCAGGGATCTGATATTATAACTAGTAGGCTAAATTGATATTTTAACAGGTTGAGACAGGAACAGATATTAAATCAGAATTCTTTGAAATACACCCTTAAAGCATTTTAAACAACAGAGACAAAAAATGGTAGTCATTATATACCTGAGAGTATGCTTTATCAAACATTGAACATAATCTGCTCTGTTCATAACTGAGGAGGAGTGTAATAATTATTCAGTGTATGGATCCTTATCTATGACCTGCCCAGCTGAAGAACAAATCCCAAGTTACATGTCAGGCAATACATTGCATGAACTATTCATTCACCCATATGGCAGTGGTTTTCTAAAAAAAAAAGTTTCTGGAGTGCCCTTCTGGCATGCAAGGCTTTTTACAAAGCTACTCCTGCCTTTTAAAAGACATTGCTTTTACTGCAATCCAGTGTCATCTCCTTTGTTACTCTTGTGGCTCCCTTGTCCTCTTTCTACTCCTCCTGCACCTTGTCCTGGATAGTCTTGAAAGCCACTTGAAGTGACTTGCTGGATGACTTTGGAAAATGATGTTTTACTGACCGCTTGGTTACCCTGAAGCTTAAAAATCTTACACAATATCATTCTGTTTGCTCAGATATGAATTGTCGTTACGATACATAATGCTGTTTCTGGTTTTGCATTACATAGACAACTGAGGCACAGATCTACACCTACAATGCACGTTTTAATTTGGGGACAACTTTCAAACTTTTTCCTCTTTAATATTCAGATATACATAAAACTAGTATTTTAAGCGCAACTGAAATTTAAAGGTCTCCATTGCACACAATATTTTGGTGATACATTCAAAGATTTAAGCATCCAGTCTGGCTCCTTAACTAGACACTTAAATATGGTGGTCTCACCCTGTTGTTAGCATGCAGGGATATGCAAATACAGACAGAATTAATTGAGATTTGAAGATACCTCGGCTAATGTGAGGAACAAAGAATAGACTTTGACTCCCTTACTGCTCAGAAAATAGCAGAAGTCAACACAGGCACTTACAAAACAGCACAAACCCTACACAAAACAGTTTAATTCTCAGTGTGCCCATAGAACTGAAAGGATTACTGATGAGAGTGTTACTCCTCCAAGGAGATTCAGCTTTTCTGCAGTTTCCATGGAATATTTTTCCTGAAATTTTGAGGGAAACTACGTAAGGCTTTCAGATTTGTTTGTGCTGTCTTTATGTTCTGCTAAGGCTGCATGGAGGCCATGGAGGATTGGGAGAGGAAGGGGACAGATTCTGATGGTCACTTCTTGGTGCTCTTTGCTGAGATCTCTGAAACAGCTTTATTAAGAAAGCTAAAAATGCTTGTTACTCATACACACCAACATCTGTTACTGATGACTGAATTACCTGGATTTGATACTTTTTTACCCTGCTAAAAATCTAACTTTTTACTGTATTTTCCTAAAGTTAAATGAAGCAAGAAGAAAAAGCTGCTTCTTTTTTTTTTCCAGAAAAGTGTAGCTCCTGTGTTGCAGATGTAGTAATGGCATTGTTGAAATTGCAGCAAAGCATGTAATCATGTGCCCAGGTAACACAGTATTGCCATTGCTGCTAAGAAGCCACAAATTTTATAGAGAACTTGCCTCAGGACCAAGGTGCGTCAGCCTGCAGCTTTGTTTCCCATAGTTTAGCTGTGACAGCAGTCTCTCAAATTCATCAGGTTTCTAAGGCTCATTGGTTTTACTTTTGTACTGCAACCATAGCTTTATGCAGGTAGCAGAAACAGGCTGTTATTCTATGTAGAAGCAGGTGTTTATGACTCTAACATAACAATGCAGTGGAGAGAAGAACTCTTTGCCTCATATACCCACAGAGCCCTTAAACAGTGGAGAGACGGGATGCAGCACAGAGGAGAGCAGGTGTGGGATGAGAGGGATGGGGCGCAGGCTGAAGACTGCACAGCTATGAACAACACACCTGTGGTCTGTTAAAGAAATGCAGGTGTAGAGCTGGACAAAACTGGTTCTAAGGGTAGCAAATAGAACAAAGAAATAGTATCTAACACATGTAAAAGTCACCACCTATGATAAATTTGGGTGTAATGTAGAGCTGCAAACCAATGGAGAAAAAGAAAGGCGTAAAAACGTGTCAGCCAACATGTAGAAATGACCCCAGGTGAATCCTAGTGTGAGGAAGAAGAAAGAACCAACATGAAATCCTGCTCCTCCCAGGGAAGGACTCCAGATGCTGAGTTTGCTGCAGTCCCCACCTCCTCCTCCAAATGATGTCACGGCCCTAAAAGCCCAGAGAAGCAGTGGAAGACTGAGCATTAGCACCAGGAAAAGGGGTAGAAACTAAGAACTGAGTATATATCAATTTTAACTACATTAATATTCTTTCCTTTCTGTAACAATTAGGCCTGGACTAATAAAGATTAAGCTTTTAATATTACAATCATTTTCATAATGCGTTTTAGCCTTTTAGAAAAGGTGTGCTTTCTCTGTGCCCACAAACAATTTTGTGTGTAAAAATAGGAAATATAATACTTTTTAAAATTATTATTTAAAGTATAGTAAGGGCGTAGAAAATCACGTGCAGAGAATTCTTTTCAGTAGCCAGGGTAACTAAAAAATATAGTATCTGAAACTGTAATTGATAGCCTGTTTAAAAGCTTAAATATCAAAAATAATCAGTAGGCAGGTCAACTGTTTTAGCTTTTTGTTCTGCCCTATTGAGTGTCCCTAGTTGTTAAGGATTTCAGTGATGGTAATCTACACTGAATGCTGCTCTTTACCTTCTGGGTCTTTATTCAAAATAAAACTAATTGGGAGACGTTTTGTTCCTACCAATTAAGTGTGGGTTTTTAGTTTGTTGTGGTTTTTTTTTAACACAAGTGAAAAGAAAGCTATGAACAGTCCCAGAGAAACTCACAAATCTCAAGAGCTGTAGGAGAATATGAAGAGAGAAGACTGAATGGCAAAAGCAAGAGGAAGAAAAGAGAGGAAAACAATTCAAAGAAAATCTGAGGCAAAAATCTGCTGTACATTTTTGTGTTACCTTCTTTGCACTAAAAGGTGATGAAGATAAAGAAAGTAATGAAACTCCTGGAAATTAATTAAATTAAATTAAGGTTAGCAAAAAACCCCCTCATTTAAGTAGAGAAACCCCGTAGAAGTCAAGGGGGTTCTGCCCTTGATGTTAGAGGCTACCTGTAGTGCACCTAGAGTTTTCATTCCAACTGTGAAAGATTTTGTGGAATAAAAGAGAATAGGGAAGATTGTGTATAAAGTTTAAAAAGAAAGAACCTACTCAGAGAAACCTGGTTTTCCAAGGTTCCCAAACACAGGTAGTAACTTTGTAATAGAAGACTGACTTCTTGTAGATATCATTGATTTCATTCAGAAATACATACTTTAAAGTGTGCCCAACCATCAAGGAAGTACCCCGTGAGTTCAGACAGAGCTTGAGATAACTATCTTGTTAATTTGAACAGCAGGCTCTTTTGCCTCACTTAGGAACTAACAAACATAACTCTTTGTTCACTGTAGTACAAATTACCTCAGCCAAGTACTCACCTCCCTGTGGAAAGAACTGAGAGTAAATCTCTTTGAAGGTTTCTTCATTGACAACACCACTGGGGCATTCCTGAATAAAAAGTGAAAGATGAGAAATTAATACCGTCCAATCTGGTCCAGTCAAATAATGTTTTCATGAGACTATACAGAACATGTGACTCTCAGAGTTTAACATGTCTGATTTTGCACTTTCTACCAAGTAAATGCAGTAAATGTTTATTGCTTTGAAGTATCTTCCTAAAGAGTTTCCGTGGTACAAAAATTTCTTCTATGCCATATATTTCAAACTCAATCTCGAGTGACAGATGTGAGCAGCAACCACTCTGCTGCAGTGTGTGGAACTACTGGTGTTGCTGTGGGCCATGGGTGGTAACTCCTACAGCTGCAAGCAGCATTTATATACTGTGGAAACCAAGCAGGAACGTAAACTGCATTTGCAGTTACGTATTACTGATAGAACATGCAGTCTTATTCTACCAGAAGAGTTATATTCAATGAATTCAAAAGACCTTGCCACAGATCTTATTCAAACCTTGCAGATCCTTCTGCCTCTTTATTTCTTTTTCATAAACTGAAATACATAGGAGAGAATAAGTGGAACATGTCAGAGCAGAGTGATTATGAAGAAAATGAAAGGAAGTGAAGAAGGAAAAATAGGATTAGAGTGGTGACTTTACAAAAATTACTTACGTAAAGAAAAGCAGAAGGAATATTGCATTGTTTACTAAGTTGCACATAAATATCAAGGACCAGACAGCCAAATTCTAGTCCTGAATTTGCCAGACTGAGCAGATGACTTTGGGCAATGCACTTAATTCATTTTTGCTTTAATTTCTTCTTTAACACAGAAGGTGAAAAAAGCCTGGCAAGCTTTTTGAAAGTATTTATAGAAACAAAGGTAAGTAAGAAAAGAAAAATTAAGTGTTAAGGTTCATGGCTTTATTTTTTTTTATTGTTCTGCTATTCAGACCGATTGCTCAAACTTAGGTGCTCCTAATCATAAACTAAGGAAAGGAAATGTCTTTAAAAGAAGATAAATAACACTGTAACATCTTTTACCAGTGTAATAACAGCTTTTCCTGTGAAAGCAAATATTTCTATTAGATCAAGTGAGGAACACTGAGATATTAATAGTTCTGACATCTTCTGCTAAGAAACCAATAGTGTCATCTTGCTAATTGATAGATGAATGCACTCCCTGAAAAATGCATGTCAGATCTGTAGATCTATGATTATCTTGATTCATGTCACTTTTCCTCAGTCAAAATCATCTCTTCACCATAGCTAAGCATATTCAAACACATAGTAAGAAACAGTTCTGTTTGATCAGGACAGACAGACAAACAGTGGTCACGGAGACAGAAGTACAAAATTATTTATTCTTGGTCACAGAGTCTGTTACCAATGGAGACAGAATTAGAGCACAGGTCTCTCTGTAAGACCAGATATGTACTGACTGCTGGGCCACACTGCTTTTCAAACCAAAGCCTTTAGGGAATGAGAGGAACACTGAAATAAATCAAGCATCTCTACCCTTCATCAGGCAATGAGCAACTCATTAACTGAGGCAGCATCTCCCTGCCTGTCCTGTGTTTGGGTGCGAGGACATTCTAAAACATCTCTCCCTGCTTTACCAGCTCCCCAAAAAGACTGTTCTCAGATGGTCTAGTGTCTCTGTGGTCCCTCGTAGGTTCACTATGCTGCTTGTCTTTTTACGTGAAGCCTTCTGGAGTTGTGTAAGTGCAGGCAAAAGAGCAGTATTTTTACTTGTATTTGAAGCTCAATAAAGAAAACATCAGTGAAGTGTTCAAGATGCTCATTGATGTAACATTAGAGTTATTCAGTATAGAAAATGTCACAAGTTCCACTTCCAAGCATACATTGGTATACACTCCACATCATTCCCAGATCTGCCCAAAGAAGAATAATGCAGCCTTCTCCCTGAGATGGGTGGGAGGTTGAAAGGAAAATTCAGTATTTTAGAATTTAGAAAAAGGAGCCGTGGCTTCTTTCTGTTCTGCATGTACTTTATTTTCAGGCAAAAAGCTAGGCACATTTTGAGTGAACTAAAAAGAAAGCCTGCATATTTGAATTTCTCAACTCATATTTTGCATTTTTTTATTTTTCTGAGCAGCTTAATAAGTAATGACAAAATGTGCATTTGAGTTCATCTAACTCTGTGGCTTATTAACATGTAAAGTGATTTTCCTACCTTTTCCTTGGATGAGAAAGACATTCAAAATATGTTTATTTTGCAGAGTGCTCTCCCCTTTTTAACAGGAAATGCCAGCAACTCCCAACTATGCTAGTCCTTAGTTGGAAGCTGTGAAGAGTAAGACTCTCATTTCCTGACTGCATTTAAACATTGTGATGTTAGAGGAGAATTAAAGGTACTCTGAAAAAATTTGTCTGATTTATCCTTTATTAGTTCAAAGTAAGTTAGCAGCCTGTTTTTAGAGAAGTACATGATCTATATACCTCATTTACAGGTAGTACCTTTTTCTGTTAATGAACTCCAGTTTCATCATACTGTGTGAAAGAAATATTGTTTGAAAAGGCAACCTGCTTTCACAGAATTACATAGTTGTAGAGCCAGGAACGACCTCTTGAGTTTATCTAGGTTGACCCTCTGTATTTTCCTCTGCTTTTTACCACAGCATTGCCAGCATCACCTTACCTTTTCCATTCTTGGAGGGCTGTAGTAATGGTATCTTAAAGACATTAATTAAAAATCTGTGATGCTGGCCAATTACTCATCAAAAATATGAGTTCACACTTTTCTTTCTTTAGCGTGAATCTTTCCCCTGAGACTCTACAAGGCAGTGAGTGCTTCTGCTCTTAAATAATTTCAGTCGAAATATGTGTGTAGCCAACATCATTTACCTCCAAGACTGCTCTTTTCTTGACTCATAAATCTGGCTTTACTGTGTTTATGAGGAATTTTCTCTAGTTCAGTGAAAGAGATGTAGTATTGCAATTGTTAAGTATGCCCCATGGTTTTATGTCAGGTTATTGCTGACTTCTTCCATTGTGCCAACTATAATTAAAAAAATATTTCTAATCTTTCATTAAACTCTTATGAAAGAGATGAAAATAATTAAATAGTTTGAAAGAAAAATGTGAGGCTTATTTAAACGATTTCCTGTATTCTTTTTTCCTCCAGCCATATACAGTATATTTTGTTACAGAAAATTTATGTTTGACAGTCTTTTAAAATTGCATTAATGATGTATTATATTTTCCTTCTGGAGAATAAAAAGGAGGAAAAGTTCATTTTGAACTGTTTTTCCTGAGTTCAGTGCTCCTTCCTTTAAAAAGAAAATAATATAAGCTGACAGAAAGAAGAGAGAATAATAAATATGATTCTTCCTTTTGATGATCTCTCTTGCTTGCAATTTTACTGCTGGGAAATTACACCTCCAGCACATGGTCTTATGAACCACTCCAAAATCTGTAAATTATTTACAAGTTTCATGCTGTCTAGGCTGCCTTTTCTTCAGTATTTCTAAGAATACAGCAATAGGTCGATTCTCCTTTACTACCTAATCAAATAAAAAATGAAAAAAAAAAGAAAAATGTAGGAAAAAGAATGCAGGAGAAACAAACTCAAAGCTCAGACTTTTCTCTGCATAACAAACAATTTTGTATGATGAATATATCTGTACTAGGAGCTTTGGCAATTTTAAATATATTTTAATTATAGGCTTTTGCATGACAGGTTCTCCATTCCATGCTTTTACTTTACTTTTTACTGTCAGTTTTTGCTTTACTTCATTTATATTTATGTTCATATCCATTGGCTTAATTATCTCTAACTGAAAATATTTTCTCTTTTTGCATATACTTCTAACTAAAAAATTAAATTTTTCATAAACACAGAACTTAATGGAAGAGCACATATGTAATTCTGAAATAGCATGCATATACTTTAAAGCTAATTCTACCAAAAATCCCCCAACCTAAACCCACAGTGGCTTTTCATAGCCCAGTCCAGTTCCTAATTTTTAATTTGACTATAATAGGGCTTTGATGAAACAGCATGAGAATTTAACAAATGGCCTTGATCTAATAACATAATCCAGGCCAAATTAATAATGAAATCTGGGCCAAGGGACACCTCATGAAACTCAACAAGAATTGCAATGTTCTGCATCTGGGAAGAAATCACCCTCTGTCCCAGTACCAGCTGTGAAGTCAGTGGCTGAATTGCAGCGCTGCCAAAAAGGACGTGGGGTTACAGTAGATGTTGAGCTGAGTAAGAGCCAATGAAGAATTCTTACTGCAAATAAGATGAACCACCTACCGGGCCAAGGCCAGCAGGCTGAGGGAGTTATTCCCTCTCTCTACTCGGGACCATCTTGGGGCCCTCCCAGGGATGTGGAGGAACTGAATAGGTTTCAGCCAAAAGCCATGAAGACTGGTAGGGATGAAAGCACATGGCCAATGAGGAGAGACTGAGAGAGCTGGGCTTGTTTAGTCTAGGCCATCGCTAAGGGATGAGCTAATAACAGCCCAACTGAAGGGCAGCAACAAAGATAAAGGAATCAAACTCTTAGTAGGGGCAGACAATTTTAAAAAGTTCAGTAGCCACAGTCTGAGGTTTGTGAACTCATATTAGACAGCAGAAAAAACTTTTTCACTCAGTACCCTGAAGCGTGGTGATGCTTGAGACAGTCCTTAATTTCAGTGGAAGTTTGTGCTGTTGAACAGCCTTGGAAATTCGTCTGTGTATGCGGCAGAGCTTTTCTAAGGGATGAGATGAGGGGTTTTGTTTGATAAGTGGACCTTGATAATTTGCCATTATGAACAGGAACATACTGGCCAGGACAGAAAGGTGTGCGTTAGAGACAAGGGGCAATAGGTTCTGGAGCTTCTGTTTTTTTCAGTCTTTAATGCCTTTCTGAAAATTAACTTTTAACTTTCTGCACTCCCTGCTTCCAAAGCTGCATACCTAAGGTTGATTTAGACTTTCTATATCTAATGTTTGTTCTAATATATGTGATTGAAATGTTAGCCTTCTTATGACTTTCATGTTTGCAGAAAACTGATCAAAATTACAATTATGCATTT